GCTCGAATGATTGAACGACCGACTAGAATTTTGAATGCGTGGGACAGTTGGGACGCGGCGGGAGAGCGGGCGTGTTCGACGTGTTTTACGCGAAATATTTTTGTCCCTGTGGAATTCCTGTGATTCGCGCGGGGGAGGAGGATATTGTAATTGATGGCACGCAACGGTATTTACTATACGACTTGCCATATATAATGGAAAAAAAAAAAGAAGAGAGATGTGGAATGAAGAGAATCATGTGGAACGATAATAAAGTTGCACGAGAGTATACGGAATTGCATTGAGTGGTTTATGAAAATCCACTTATGCCCGCCGTTGAATAGAATTATTTACCAGTTGGAAATCAGATCGGGCCATTCGTTTAAATAAAATTCGCGCCGACTTTTAGTTTGTTCAAATGGAAAGTTATATTGCTAGATGGTGTCTCCATACGCGTTCCGCTCGTGAAAAAGAAGAAAAAAAAAAAAACAAACAATTTATATTTCAATTTTTCGCCCATAATTTCTGTAACCGAGTAACAGTATTATTATTATTATTGTTATTATTATTATTACGTGTCATAGATGAAGATAATGTTGCTGCACGTCTTTGTCGTAACGTAAACTGTGTAAAGAAAATAATTTTTCGCAGTGGCGAGGGAAAAGATAGCTCGAGTAGTTGCAGCTGCAGGTGTAATTACTGTTCGAGTACCTAACGATAATAACTGATACAAATGAAACAATACAATCCAGTCGAGGATCAGGCCAGTAGCTAGTGTAGAATCGATGGGAGAAAAATGTCCGATAAGAGACTTTAACTGGAGGAAGAATTACATGGAACGAGAATGAAAGCACGTGTTAAATTCTTATCGTATTTGAGAGGAAAATTTCGAGAAAGATTTCAAATCTGAAGTTAATTCAGATGCGGCGTTTTTCCTTTGAATGATTCTCGATCAAGAAACGTTTGAATCAAAGCCATGATAGTTGATTTGCAATTTCGCATTCCACAGGAACTTTCCATCATTCTTCAGCTACTCTATCGTAAGCGTGCGAACGCGCGAGAATTCGTTTCTGCGAAACTGACCGAGTCGTACGTGGCGAGAAAGCTTCGAATAATTTCAACCGTTCCTTCCCGTGACTTTAACCGTTTTCTTTCGAACGCAACCCGACGACGAAGACGGTTGGAAAGTTATTGCTAATTGCAACGAAGATATTCCTGTCTGCCGATTGTCAAGTCTTCTTCCGTTTGTGCAATGATATACGTTGCACTTGATGCTCGGCTGGCCGCTCGAAGAGCTCTCCTGCTTCGTTGCTTTATTTGGCACGAGACGCAAGGCAACTTTTTCTGACTTATTCCTGATTACAGAAGCTTGGACGAACGATTGAAAGTAGCCGGGATCTGCCCGTTTAGTCTACGTTCCATTAAACGTGATAAATTCTGTAATTGCTCGGTGCACCGTCTCGCGAGTCCAACACGAACACGAATAAGCTTTTACGAAATTATCTCGGCCTGTAACGAACTAGCCGTAGGTTAAATCGAACGGAGATAATATCTTTTAGCGAGCGATTTAGAAAAAGTTACTTCTTCGAAAAGTTACTCATCTAAGGTAAGAGATACGTGGCGCACGCTTGGCATAGAAAATTTTTACAAATCTGCAGATTGAATATTTTCGCTACGAAAATATGGCACATCCTACTTGTTCCTCCACTGATAAGAGCAAGGAAAAAATAAAATTGTTATCGCACCGCAAGACTTCACAGATTTCCGTTTTCTTCGCAGGATAACGTGCGGTTTTGCGGTTTGTTCGTGGCCACATTTTGATACGCACTGTCATAGAGATAGCGATACCACGTCCTATTTGTATTTCAGACGATCGAATTATTCGCGATACATTTAATTTAGTTCAGCGTGGGACATTCAGTTCATTCAACATTCATTTTGGTAAATGCTAAATGACGAGACATGTTTCACTCGGTAAAGAAACAAGTACACGAAACAATTTCCAAATTTTCAATTATAATTCCAAGTGGCATTCCAGTGCACTAAAATGATCAAAAGTGCATAACAAGAATGATTAAAAATATTATGTAACAAAGTAGTTAAAATCGAGGAGTTTTTCTTTTTCAGTTATCGATAGAGATTAGTGATACGATATTCCTCTTATATTTCAGACGATCGAATTATTTGGATACATTCAATTTGATCTCACGCGGAGAATAT